AGTTACGTCTCATTGGCCAGAGCATAGAGACATTTTGTATTTATCTGGGGCTGTCAAATATTTAAAAAGCAACTAACTATACTTCACAGAGATACATTTTATTTTGCCTAGTTTGATTTTTTATGCATGCATTTTATTGCTGTTCGTTTTACTTAACGTCATATTTGTGATGGCAAATGGATTTCATCTCTCTCAACATTTCAATTTGTGGTGTTGCCAGGAGTTTCTGGAGTCTCATCTGGGGGGCAATTGAGTAGCAGTGACGACTATTGGAAAGAGGTCCTAATATTTTACCTCAAATTTTGAAGTCTTTATTTTAAGGGAAAGGAAAACAAGACATTATGACTTGACTTGAAAATTTAATTTCTCCTCAATAGTGGTTGCATTTTACTGTTTCTGAGGCAAAGACAATAGCCCAAGAAAAACACCAAATGATTATAAGCTTCCGAAGGACTTGTTTTCTTTTAGGCAATTTCAAATTCTTGTTTATGTCTGACCTAGCAATAATCAGGTTTTCTGTAGTTCTGTTTTTTTTTTCTCTCTGTGCAACTGAAAAGTGGCTAACTCTACTTACTCCATCAGTGGGAGCTCAGGGAGGAGGGGAAGCACCACCATAAATAGCTCCTTGTTGTTTTGATGATTTATTGCTTGCTTATAGGTTAAAGTAAAATGCCCCAGCAGAAAATATTTGCATAATTGTTGTTGCTCCTGTGCTTTCACTCTGTATCTGCTTTGTGTCACAATTGATACACGGGTGTTTACATCTTACTGCATTCATTCCATGTCATTAGATAAAAGAAATGTCCTGCTTTAGTCTTTTGATAGCATCCCCCCGCCCCCCAGCAGATCTTTTTCACCTAATTATGTTCATCTGGGCAGGAAAAAGTGCTAAACCTCACTGTGTTAGCATATGTCCACTTGGAACTTCTGGTTTAATGCCAGAGTCCAGATTTCAGTTCATCTATAAATAAAGGGCACCTCATTAGTTAGGTCCTTGGGTTTTTATTTATTTATTTTCATTTTGAGTCACACACAGCAATGCACAAGGTTTACTCCTGTCTCTGCACTCAGGAATTACTCTTGGCAGTGCTCAGGGGACCACATGGGTTGCTGGGAATTGAACCTGGGTCGGCCACGTGCAAGGCAAACACCCTAACCACTGTGCTATTGCTCCAGCCTCAGGGTCCTCAAATTATTTATGCATGCTGAAGATCTTTTTAGGAACCTGGCATAGTTTTCTAAGACCCCCTTAGCTGCTGGTTTTGTGACTTTTAGTGACTGGAATAGTTATATTAATTGTGGTAGCCAGTAGTTCTCAAGGAGAGGCAATCTCATCCCCACAGGATACCTGACAATGACTGAAGATTCTTGGCTATCACAATTGGGGCTGATGATGTGTGTATTGGGTGGGAAGTGGGTAGCTCAGGAGCTCTGGGGACCTGGGACCAGGAGATATGCTACAGGTATTTGACTAGAAAAAAAACTGGTAAACCCCCTACAAAGCCCAGGACAGCTTCCACCAGAGAAAACTGTTCAGCACAAATTCACTGTGCTGAGGTTAAAAACCCTGGTGTATGCGATTCATCTGATAATTTGTATGAAGATTTAAAAATTCCCATCATTAGATAAATCCTTGGAATAAAACTACAAAGGTGTAGTTAAAATTAGCGGCAGATGCCTTTGCAAGTAGAAATTATTTCAGAAATGAATTTTCTGGGTTTTCACCATCACATTATAGCTTTTGAAGTGTGGGCATGCTTTTTAAATTTTGTTGTGGTAGTATTTTCATAGAAATAGATTTGCAATATCTGAATGTATTGAGTGACCAAGAGATAAACAAGTACTTATAAGCCACTTACATCCAAATCCATCCCTAGAAAGCCCTTTCAACCCTTGAAAAATAGTGAATGAGGGAAGAGGAAAAGATTTTCATGCTAAAAAGCTCCACAAAGGCTGATTCTTTCCATGTTACTTGTGACATGTGCAAGTTTTGAAGTGCCTATCACATGTACAAAGGGGTAGTCAGCTAGACTAATTACTAGCATGCATACAGTGGCCAGGGTTTCACAGCAGTAATTATACCAAAGTAGCAACAATCCATTTTCAGTGGCCTGTGATAGGTATCTCTCTGTATATATGATCTCAATCAGTGATTCCCACCCTCATTGCACTTTAAAGCCACCCAGGGAGCTTTTAAAACGACCACTCTCAGGGCCCCCAGTCTCTCAAAATTTTAATTTAATTGTTCTGGAGTAGGACCTAGGCATAAGTATTTTTTAAAAGCTCTCTTGATGATTCTAAAACGCAGCCAAGGTTGAGAGCTACTGATCTAGATATATTGAATTCTTTGCATGAGTAAGAGCTATTACCATCCCCCCTCCCCCTGTAGTTTGTAGTGAATAACATGATCTATGTTGGGAGCTTTGAAGTAAAGATCAACACACTTCTTTGAGGACCATTCCTTTAATAAGGTTTTTGTTTTCTACCTCCAACTCTGACATTTAGTAGTTAGTAATTTCATGATGGGAGTTTATGCTACTACCCTGAACTCCTGAAATCTTATCTAAATTAGTAAGTAAATAAGCAGTGTGGGGGGTGGTGGGGAGGGAACCTTCATTTTGAGTTGAAGAAGTAGTTTTTGTTTATTTGGCTTGATTTTTGGTTTGAGGCAATACCTGATAGTGCTCAGATTTCTGGTGCTTTGGGGTAAGATGTGAGTGATCTCAGTGTACCATATGTGGTACCAGAGATGGAACCCAGGTTGGCCGCATGCAAGGCAAGTTCCCTACCTCTGCCCAGCCCCAAATAGCATAGTTTTTTGAGAGTACGATTGTTCTTTTTCTTAGGCAAAATAAATTTTTAAGCACAGAGTAAATTTTATAGGCTACAGAAAAGGCAATTATGTATTTTGTTATTTGTTTTTAATAATGAGAGTATTTGTAGGGTGCTTTCTAGAATTGTGGCCAATACATGTTACAATTCTGAGCTCTATTTTAAAAACTTTTTCCACTTTTACAGTCTGGGGTACTTGTTGAAAGTATGATAATTACAGATAAATTTGTCTAGTTCTATTTTGTCTTTTTGGGTGAGTTTATAAGAAAAGGGAAAAAAAAGTAATTTTGGTAATTATGTACTGTTCATTTACAGTGACAAATTTAGATGACATTTTGGTCCCTCAGTAGTTATTGAACCATACTTCAAAGCATGAAAAGAGGACTCATGAAAAAAATGGGGTTAGTAAAGTCAGTAACTCCAGTTCTATGGAGTTCAAGTCCCCTAATTATTTCCTTTTTAATTGTCAAGTGATCCAAAAGAAGTGGTCTCATTAGTGGTTTGTGTTATGAAAGCGACGCTTCTCCACATTTTCAGTGCCTATTGTATTAAGCCATTGGCCTTTGCCATTTTTCTCTGTGCTCCTATCATGAATCAGTCCTTCTCAAAGTGTGACCAGAGCTAGACTGTGAACTGCTTTGTCCAAGTACCAGTATGGAAAATAGATGTTTAGAAGGCTTTATAACATATGAGTTTACTAGACATGTTTACCGTATATTTTACCAAAAAATATATTTTATTTGATGGATTGATGACAAAGACCCTGTTGCTTTGCTGCAAGCAGTATAGAATCACTATCTAAGATAGCTCAGAATTCTCTTTTCCTCTTTACTTCTTTGTTCAAGTGTCACTTTCCAATGAAGGCTTCTCTGACTGTTCAGAAACAAGTCCAATCTCCCAGCATCCATGTGCATGATAATCTGGTACTTACACTCCATATATACAATTGCAGTTTCCTATTTATGTATGTGGCGACATACTTTGTTGTTGTTGCTATTTTTGTTTCTTTTTAAATTTTCATTTTTAAGGTAGTTCGCAATGTTTGGTTACATCTTATATTCAAACACCAATCCCACCACTATTACACCTTCCCACCACCACATTTAGGATGTTTCCATCGCAAGCCCTGATACCAGTGACAGACTTGTTGAGTCTCTCCCCCTACTTATCTTACATAAGCTCCATTAAAATAGGAGTTACTTTTGTTTTCACTAGTCTTTGCATTCTCAGTACTTGACACATAGTAGGTGCATAGCATATACTGTTGAATGAAAGATACTCCCCACGTTCTTCTTACCATTGGATTCTGGGTACTTCCTTTCCTTCCTCGGACTTGTGGCAACACTCACTTCTGGTTTTGCCTCCCGAGTGTGGCTATCCTGCTGTTATTGAGGATGTAAATGAGAAAAAGACACACAATGCGATTCGTACCTCACTTGTTGTCCTCAGTCTCCCTGCGTGCAGCCCCACAGGAGGTTAAAAACATTAAGCTAGTGATTAAATATCATTTGCTACAGCCTGTCTCAGAAAGCTACCACAATTTTCCAATTTATGTACTTTGAAAGAACTTTTAATTATGAGAACTGCAGAGTCATAGCTGCATTGTTCAGCTACCATCAGTGAAATGATGGTTAGCTATAATTTAGTCTGATTTTTTTTTTTGAAAAAGATGACTAATAATCTGCTCTCACACTGGGAGTTGATAAGGCAGCAGTAGAATTCTTTGAACTTCATGCCGCCTGAATCTACTGAGTGAATTGATATTATTTTAACAGGATGGATTAAATAATGAAATATTCGTTATTATTGCTCTTATGGACTGGGAGTTGCATTTATGGTGCTGGGGGTCAGACTTCTAGTGTCAACTATTACACTTAGCAAGGTAGGTCGTTCAGAGCCTCCCATATGTCAGACATGTTTTCTACCACTTAGTAACATCCCCAGGCCTATTGAAAAGCAGATTCTTTAGGCAAGGTTTCATGATGACCTTCTATTAGAAATTGCAATGCAGTTTGGAATATAACATCCACTGGATACTAAAATGCAGGTCCCTCCCCAGATTATAGCGCAGGCCATTGCATACCATAGCTAACTTGATTGCCAAGTTCCATTGTTTTTTTTTTTTTAGTTGATTCTGATTGTGCTTTTTTTGGGGGGAAATCATTCAGATGGAGCACCGACATCGGAAGAAAGATACCCCAGTGCAGGCCAGCAGTCACCACCTCTTTGTGCAGATGAAGAGCCTCATGTGCTCCAACCTGGGAGAGGAGCTCGAAGTCATCTTCTCGCTCTTTGACAGTAAAGAGAATCGACCGATCAGGTAACTGTCAATGGAGGTATGACATCCATTTCTCTGTTGGAATGATGAGCAGATAAATATAATTGACAAACTTTTGAATGTAGGAAACTGCATATTTTTTTCTTCTCTCTCTCATTTTCATTTTTTTCATCTTAGAATACTGTGGATTTCTAAGCTGCCTCCTCTCTTGAGATTTCCATGAATTGTAAATGAGGTGATACATGAAGCAAATTTTTTTTTGGTTTGAGACCACACCCAGCGGTACTCAGAGCTTACCCCTGGCTCTGCACTCAAAGATCATTCCTGGTGGGTTTGGGGGACCATTTTGGATGCCGGAAATACAACCCATATTAGCCGTGTGCAAGGCAAGCACCCTACCCTCTATGCTACTGCTCCACCCCAATTAATAAAACAATTCTTTGAAAAAATGAATAATGACTTTAGATTGGGAATAATCATCATTAACTAAGTATATGGCACTGATATCAAACCTCTCTCACTTGTTGTTTGAGTGAATTTGTATTAATTGCACTCCTGAACATAGAACCAGGGATCGCAACTGACACTACCGACTGTGGTACCAACTCAGCATTATCGACAATCCAAACCCCCTACAAAACATGTTTTTGTTCTTTACAGTTAATTTTAAACCAAGGAGAATGACCCAGTTTTACTATGTGTTTTAAAATATAGTGCATAAGGTACTTGCTTTGCATACAGTCAACCTGAGTTCAGTCCTTGGTACCACATATGGTCCCCTTGAGCACTGCCAGTAGTGATTCTGAGCACAGAGCCAGGAATTCCGAGCACCACCAGGTGTGACTTGAAAAAAAAAAGGGAGGGGGGTTTATGATAAGTTGATAATACCATCAAGAGTTCAGGTTCTTCCCCCTGGAAATGCGTAGGAACCTCCATTTAAAAAACAAACGAAAACCTGGCATTTTTCAGTAACACTGAACCACATACACTGTTTTTTAAACCCAAAGAAGTCCTATAATATTTTTTCTGGAGATGTTAAATGTTTTTTTGGATACATATGCATAAAGTTTATTTTTAATGCATAAAATACATAAACATATGTTATAAAATCTTTGGTATGTAGATTGATATGTTAGTGATTAGTCACTACTCAGAGTGTATTCTATTTCTTGACACTTCCTAGTATTTAAAGATGTTGGTTTTTTGCAGCAAGGACAGACTTCATAAGGGGTATGTGTGTGTGTGTGTGTGTGTGTGTGTGTGTGTGTGTGTGTGTGTGTAAATAACAAAGGTAATAGAGTTTCAAAATTTACTTTCTACATTGTAGGAAGAAATGAATTAGTAGGTAACAGTTTTAGTTACAATCCATGTTTAGAGCTTAGTGCTTGTCTTTGACATGAGAAAGATTTTTTTGGAACTAGTACTTGCTTACCTGTTGAAGTATTCTTCAAGAGCTTGATTTATGAATTAGTCTAGCCAAATCATTATAATGTTACTCATATAATATAGTCTCTAACATATTTAATAAACTATGGGATAAAAAAAGTTGAAATAAGGTCATTCTTTTGCTCATTCTTTCAAACTATATTTTTTTTCAGAAACGTGTTCCTCTTTTCCTTTAATATTCAAATTGGATTAATATAGGCTTACATTGATTTGTGTCTGTATTTTGATCTTGTTATAAACATTTGCAGATTTCTGAAATGTTCATTAGGTATTAGTCGGCAGATTATCTTGTTTTGTGTCTATTTACCTGGTGAAAGAAGTACAATATCCTGGGTTCAGAAGACCTAAAATGTTTTCAGGAACTCCAATTCTGGCCAGGAGCTGGGCCTTTTCTTCTGCTCTGCAATGTGACTGGATCACCATAGAATCCTGCCTCTGGTTTTCTCTCTTCTCTCTCCTCACCCCCCTCTTCCCTTTTTCTATTCTTCCTTTCAGCTTTTCTTCTCCCCTAAATCTCCTTCTCCGCTCTTCCCTTTCTTTAGTTATGTCCCATAGGTGTACACCTCTAATTTTATATTTTCTCTAATATATAACTTGACACAGGAAAAGTCAAGTCGAAATTATCCTCACCTGCTACTCTCCTCAGAGTTTGGAAGATAAACTCTGCTGCGGGTTGCTTCACCACACACACTGCAGGAGGATTTCAGTGTTGCCGTTTAAGGAGGTACTAGTTTGGGCGTGATTCTGGCCTCTGCAGTTGACCTCTGTCTTTTCCTTCATCTTGAAACCAGCAGTAATTCTTGTGTCCTTCAGTGTGCCTGTCATGGTTAATGAGTGTAAAGTATTAATACAGTCTCATAAAAAGGAATTCTAAGACAGGATTAAGAGGCTTCTCGTGTTTCTTGTGATGTACAACAATGGATATATTGTGGGATCTGTGGGTATTTCTAAATCATCATGTGTTTCCTTTTCAACCTTTTAGAAAATTTCAGACATGTGAAAAAAGTGGAAGCATGGCATGAAGCTGCTTCACGTACCCACCATCAGTTGCTTATTTTAGCTACATCCTGTTCCACTCTTCCTCTTTCTTCCCGGATTGCTGGGAGGCAAATTTCTGGCTGCAAACTATATTTAGATGCCAATATTTTAGGGTATATCTATTTAAAAATTGCTATCTAAATAACATTTCCTTATCATCATCAAATTTCCATATTCTGCCATTATTCACAATTCCCCTGTTGACTCATAAATATTGTTTTACAAATCCTGAATAAGGAAGTTATGATTTATATATTCCAAATAAGGCCCAGATCTTACAAGTCACTTTTCAACTACACTTTCCCTCTCCCCTTAAATTTCTTTTTATTTATTTGATAAGGGCTGGAGCGATAGCACAGCGGGTAGGGCGTCTGCCTTGCACGCAGCCAACATGGCCGACCCGAGTTCGATTCCTCCGCCCCTCTCGGAGAGCCCGGCAAGCTACCGAGAGTATTCGATATGCCAGACACAGTAACAACAAAGTCTCCAGTGGAGACGTTACTGGGCCCGCTCGAGCAAATCGATGATCAACGGGAGGGCCTTTACTTTTTTTTACTTTACTATTTGATAAGAAAAACTTAAGTCATCTAATTTATTTTCTTTTCAGAGATAAAAGTCCAATCCATATAATGAAAATCAGTGGACAAAAGATGATATCAGTAGATAAATGCCTTTGTGGTTCAATAGGACCGTTAGTACTTAATTTACAATGATTAACACAGTGGAGTCTATTTGTTTGGAGCATTGTCCACACAATTAATCACAGGAATTAATTGTGTCCACGTAGGGGCAGAGGGGCTATTCTTTTTTTTTAATTTTTATTTTTATGAAGTTTTTCATGATGATTTATTATATTCAATATTGCACACCAATCCCACTACCATTGCACCTTCCCACCACTATTATTTCCAATTTTCCCAACCACCACCTATACCTGCCCCAATATCTGGCCTTAAATAATTTATTTTGTGTAGCTTGTTATGAATAATTTGTTAAAAATGATCAAAAAGAAAGATTTCCTTAAAAGAAAATGTGTGAAGATTGTCGTATCTCAACCTGGAAACATTAAGCCCTTGTATAAGATATTACTAACATGTTATTACAGGTTTAGCCTTTTGTGATAATATTTTATTAATTGAGATTGGTTGCCTTCTACTTTACATCTCATTCAATGTGTTGTGCTACTCTTGATATATCAGTAGTGTAGAATATGAAATGTTGCACAGCCATAAATGTGACATGATGATCCAGGAATTCTAATATTTTGAATTGGGTGATACAGCTGGAGTTAAATTTTGAACTGGATGATGACACTGGGGTCCGGAAGCATCTTTTCAGCTTGCTGATCTCTTTTGAGATTATTTATGTGTCTGGATTATGACCTGTAATGAGTTTATATGGCATCAGAGGCAATTCATGGGCTTGACTGCCAGGCTCCCAGAAGAACAGGGAGATGGGGGGATGTTGCCCAACCCCAACTCTACTAGAGACTGGAGGTTTCGGTCACAAAACCCATGTACTTGAGATTCTGGATCATGGCTGGGTAATGGGTTTATCGGGACTATGTTCTTAAAGCCAGTAGAGTCATGGTCAGGAAAGATAACTGCTCATTCCTCTAACAAGTCAGATAGCCAAACTTTGAAAAAATAAACTTCTGGCAGCAAATATGGCTAGAGCATCTGCCTTGCATTTGTGAGGCCATGGATTGAACTAAATCCCTGGAAAACGACACACACACACACACACACACACACACACTTATTAAGAAATAAACTTCTCTCCTTTTACAAGCAAATGACCAACATCTATTGAGCATATTAAACATCAGTTAGAGTAGTGCTAAATGCTTCAAATCCATTTTCAGCACTGATTCTATGGGTAAGAGGAAACCAAAGGTTCAGCAAGCTCAGGGAGCCTACCTACACCTCCACACTGGTAGGAGGAACGCAGTGCTATGAGCTCTCAGCCTGGCCTCTGAGGATCACCTTCTAACATACTGCCCCACTGGCCTTAATCACATTCCTTCCATTCCTGGGTGCTTTGGTATTTGAATGTTTCTGGAGTAGAGCAGGATTATATTGGCCAGAGTTGAAGCATCTGGATTTTTTTTTTTGAGAGGGCTGGGTGGGGCTCCCAAGCTATGCCCAGGGGCTTTGGTACCACTCCTGGTGATACTCAGCTAACTGGGTCAGCAATTCCATACTCTGCTTGAGGATGCAGATACTGCTTTTACCCTGCAGTTTCAGGGGCGACTAGGGCCACCCTGGCAGTTCCTGGCACACCTAAAGCCACAACCAGCAATGTTTGGGAGACTCTTAGGGCCCAGAGATCTACCATTATGCTCTCTCCCTGGCCCTCTATACTTGTACTAAAGTCTTGATTGAAAGATTGATAGCTTTAAAAGGTTTTATAAATTATTGATCATGCTGATAATGAAACTAACACCGACCCTCTAAAATAGTCTCTGCAACCAAAAGTGATAGATTTTTCAAGTTGTGTTTTCAAAGTGCTTTTAAAAGTCACAAAATATGGGACCAGAGAAGTAGTGCAGTTGTTAA